GCCCGGGCGGGGCGGGGGGGGGCGCGGGTCGGGGCTCCCGCGAGTGCCGGGCCGGGGGCGGGCGGTGCCGGCGGCCCGAGCCCTCGGTGCAGCGCCGGACGCGCTCCGGGACGGGCAGCGCCGGGCACGGCCTGCGGCCAGAGCGGCCCGGCAGGTGTGCGACGGGTCCGGCAGCGCCGGGCCGGGGGCTGAAACTTACACGGGAGACGGACGCGTCCCGGACAGGGATGGTGAGCTCTGCGTAACCTCGCAAGTGTTGGGCTTTGGCTTTGCTTGTTTTGGTTTGGTTGGTTTTTTTTTTACCCCCCGGGAAAATGTTAAATATTCTTGATAAGCCTAAACGGTGTATGAAAATATGCACTGAGGGCATAATCTTGGTTGAGGATCATGAGCTTAATTCTGTCTCAGGTTTTGTTTTCGGCTGTGGGAATTTGGGCTTTGTATACTGTGTTTAAACACTCTTTAGCATTTCTTTGGTGTGTTTCTAGTATGGCTCAGTGAGACGCTTGGGTGGAGATCCCTAAAAAGAGCTTTTGAAAGGTATTGGTATCTTGAAATGTGCTGTTTCCCTTTGCACGTGTGAGTTCTGTAAGTGGTGGTGTGCTTCGGAGGGCTGTGTCAGGTACCCTGATAGGGAAAACGAGGTTCTGTGTTTGTGAAGAGTTCTAGTTCTCTTTATGATTGGCTTCTTTAAAAATCAGAAATTAGTTGTTACGATAAGTTCTTCGGGCTTCTTTACAGACTCCCAACTTTGAGAAGTTTCCTTGACATCCTACAAGTCTTGATGCTGTTTGTTTGGCCTTGCTCTAGGGCTGCACCCAGGGCTGTCAGCAGGAAGCAGTGCTGGGTTTGACTTTGCAAAGGGGGCCCAGCACCCTGTGTCTGCAGCTGGGAGCTGTGGTGGTGTGCTCCAGCTTCTGCTCTACCTGTTTAAGGAGGAGGAAAGGAGAGCTGCTCTTGTAGCAGACTGCTGGAGAGCTGGAGAGCTGCTCTTGTAGCAGACTGCATTGGACATGTGTGTCATCAGTGCTCTTGCATTATGGAGTCATCCACTGCAAATATGAGTATGATGGAATGAATTTTCCATGTGCCTGATCTTAATTACTATTTTGGTGGAAGGACTGGTGAAGTGTTGCTTTTTTTTTTCTTTGGAGTTTTTTTTTATTTATTTGTTTGGTTTGGTTTTGTTGAGAATCTCTGCTCAGTAAAAGGTAGTCACTTGTTTCCTGGTTAGTCATTGCTGTCCAGCCATGTGACACCTGTTAGACTGCCTTCACAAAGTAAAAATCAACTTCTCTGTTTGGTAGATAGCATGGGAAGAATAGGATTTTTTTGATGTGTGAATGCATTACCTTCACTGAGCACTGCAGTTCTCTCCTCAGCTCCTTTCATCAATAACCTCCCACTTAGCACAGTTCCAGTGGTGCAGCTGTCTCTATAGACTCAAAATCTGTACCAGAACTCTAAAATGTGAACTGTGTAAAATACTTGAGGCAGAATTTAGAGTAATGTGGAACATTTAGTGTTTTCATGGACCCTCCCATGCGTAATGAACACTGCTGTGATGATGGTAATGATGTACCATCAGAAAAAAAATCCTTTTTAAACTCATTCTGTCAGAAGTGATGAGTTGGCACCAAGCAGTCAACCACTGCTTAGGAAATGCTCATTTAAGGAAAGGTAATAATGTGGACTCGGTGTGAAAAAGACTGGGAAAAACATCTTTTCTACTCTTTGGCTTACTTAAGTCTGCATTTTCCCATAGTACCCTGAAAGGATGGTTTCAGTTACCTGTAATCTGATGTAGGGCTTTTAGAAATACAAAACTGCAGTTGAATATTTGCACATTTCTAAGGCAGAAAACTCAGGAGTAAACAAGGGTTTTTTATGTCTTATCCAAGGATTTTTAATGTCTTATCCAAGGTTTTTTTATGTCTTATCCAAGGTTTTTTTATGTCTTATCCAAGGTTTCTTTATGTCTTGAATTTTTATCTATTTCTTACGATAATCTGCACATAATTGAATGTATTCTAAAGACATTTTTCCTTATATATGATATGTAGATTATACAGTCTAACAAAAACATTGTAATCTAAAGTGGTTTATTCGTAAGGAATTTAATTGAATAAAGTTGGTATTTAGGAATTATCTGGATTGTGGAATAAGCTTAATTTATTTCTGAAGTATCACAACCCTGAGTTAATTGTAAATATCAGGGTATTTCAACTAGTTTTTCTAACTAGGTCACATTGAGAAAAACCATCTTCCTGTCTGGAGGCTACATGTGGTAAATGAGGGATGCTGGAACCCTGCAAGACTGGATTTAGGTTTATGTGCCCTTAAGCAGGTTTTGAATGCTACCTGAGAGTCATCTTGACAGTAGGGAAGTGCCTGGGAAAAATGTGCCTGTCCTGCCTGTTGGGCTGGTGTGTGGAGGTTCTTGCCTGTTGTGCATATGTGTCTGCTGAAGAGTTTCAGTTCTTTCTGGGACTGAATGGGGAACTTGTAGAGGCTTTCAAACTGCAGGGAAAGAGGCGTTTTCAGACTGGGATTCTGTGGAAGTGGTGGGAAGGTTCACAGCAAGCTGGGGTTGTGTGTCTGGGATATTCAGATTGCTTTCTGTGCCACTGTCCTCTTCATTTCCTTCTGTTCTGCAGAACTGACTACAGTCCCCATTCCCATCTCCTTGTGCTGCTGGAAGGGCGGGAGAAAGGTGTTTTTAAGATTTGAGTTTACTTGTCATTATCCTGCTCTGGTTTTAATTGGTACTAAATTCAGTTAATATCCCCAGGTCGAGTCTGTTTTGCCCCTGTTTGTTATCAGTGAGAATCTCATCCTGCCCTTATCTCAACTCATGAGCCTTTTTGTACAGTGTTCCCTTCTCTGTCCAGTTGAGGAGGGGAGTGATAGAGCAGCTTTGGGTACCTGGTGTCCAGCCAGGGTCAAACCACAGGGTTTTGCATTTGTGTCAGTGAAAGAGCAGGTGCACTGGGCAAGGTCAGAGATCCACCTAGTCCCCACCTCTGCCCTGTCCAGCCTTGCACTGGTCAGATGTGGATGTCCTTAGGCAACTGTGGAAGGGTGAAAATTGTTGAGCCTTCTGTCAATATGCTGCCAGGTGAGAGTCTTCTCAAATGATGCTTAGCTGTAAAATCACACACAGCATGACTGCTATATATTTGCATCCGTGAAGGGCTGTAAAATAAGTCTTTGCTCATCTGGTAGTGGATGATCTGTAAAGCTCATTGGCTTGTAAGTATTGGGTTGGCTTTGGAGGGTCAGTCTCTCCTTCTGTGTGGTGTTTGTTGCAGCAGAAGCAAAGATTTCAGATTCCCAGTTTCAGACAGAGAACCGTGGTTATTTGACTTTGGAAAAGTGCAGCTCATCTGGGCTTACTGCTTAAGTATTTTCAAGGAATCTCTTACTAGAGTTACCCATGTTCTTTATATTTAGTGGTAATTACATCAAGGTCTATTTATACCGACATGACAAATCATGTTCTTGTATGTTAAATTAATGGGAGTATTCAGATCCAGCTCTTGGAAGTGAAGGCTGCAAAGTTACTGTGTCCTGGCAAAGTCTGTCTGCAGGAAGTTTATCACGTTCGCCTTTGGTTGCTGAATAGCTTTTTAATGTGGTCATAAAATACATGTGCTCATATAGTAACTTCTCTCAGTAATGTTAGGGTGCTCTTTAAGTCATCTCCAGTTTCAATTGCTGACTACAGAACAACAAATGGAATTCATCTCTGAATACAATCATTAATGTCAAAATGAACGAGGTGGACACCCAACACGAGCATGAATTTTTGGAAGAAATTCAGAAAGATGGTGATGTTCCATTTGCAAAACATAATGGGAAATGGGAGGTTTTCTTGTCAAGTTTTCCTTGCAGTTTTTCCTTAGCAGACCAGGACACTGTCTTTCTGAATTTCTTCCAAAAAGTGATGCTCGTGTTGGGTGTTGACATTAATGATTGTATTCAGAGATGAATTCCATTTGTTAGAGTTACTTAGTATGTTAAGTGACAGTGAAGTGGATGAATCTGGAGAGAGACTGAGTGTTTCTGAGACATTCTTCTAAAGAACAGCATAATTTGCTACTTGCAAAGAAAAGCTTTGGTTTCTTATTTTTGGGTTATCAAGAATGTGGCATTAAGTTCCAGGTTAAAGCTTTTCTTTGAGATTGGACTTGTTTTAAGTATAGTCCTGTGGTCTATCATCCCATAATCTAAAATAAATTCTTCAATTTATCTGATTTAATCTGTAAAACTTGGCAAAAAAAGAGATGTATTACTTTACCAGTAATGTTTTTCAAGGAAGATGCCAGACTTGGAAAGCAAAGGAAAAAGAGTGAGTCAAACCAGAATTAGCAATTGGAATAGCAAATTTTCAGTGGCTGTGATTGTAAGAACTTACAAAAGCTCCTCAGGTTTTTCCTCTGGTCTGCATAAGGTACTGTTAGGCTTGAGACCAGGAATGAGTGTAAAGAAATTTGGTACATTTTATGCCAGCTTTGTCACTGACATTATTAATT